GTGGAAAGCTTAAGACTACTTAGGAATGTTGCATGCATCAAAGTTGACAATAAGTTTAGCATTTAAAATGTGCACACACAACAACAATCATTTTTGTATTAGACCTATACATCTTATAAACAACCAAGTAACAATGGATAGCAAATGTAATATGCAAGTATCTTTAATAGATTACAAAGTAGCAAAGATTATTGAGGATCTAAAAAGAAATTATGGCATTACAATTTATATGGCTTAGAAATGAAATAGTGTTGAGCTAATTCATTGGTACTAAAGAAAAGAACGACAAATAACTTTTAAGATATTGCATAGAATTATCACAAGAAAATCCAAGAAGCATTATAATTGTTATAGCTTGATAGTCTTTTCATTGCATTCTATATATGGATCTTAAGATATTTACTCAAATGTTGCCATTTAATTGGTCTCGACAAAAATTATCTACAAAACAAATATTGTAGAGTTCTTTTATGTGCAAATTTAATGGATGGTAAATAAGTTATATATTTAATAATCTTTTACTATTATGCATGTTGAAAATAAAAAGAATTAAAAATGATTATTAAATAACTTGAAGAAGCATTCTTTTAATATTATATAATTAAAGAGTATATAGTGCTAATGATCTTTTTGTTCAATGGCTAAGAGAAGATTATCAAAGATGTGCAACTAATCTTTCTAAAAGTTTTTCATAATGTTTATATGTACCACCTTGTTGAGATATTTAGAGGAAAATTTACAAAAATAGAGATGGTGAATTTACTTCAAAACATAGCATGTGTGGTTATATCCAATTTGTACTAAGATGAATTTACAAAGACTAGAGAGATTTCAAAAGAAGTTGTTATGTAGATTAACAAATTATAGCCAAATACTTAAACAATAATATTTTTTGAAGAATATTGATATAATTATTTAATATCTAATATGTAAAAATTGCTAAATTAATACTTGATGGTAGTAAAATCTCTCTCTCTCTCTCTCTCTCTCTATATATATATATATATATATATATATATATATAAGATGATGGAAATGATTTGTAGTTAATTTATGGTGTGATTTAATAATCAACAAAGTGTAGTTCCTCTATGAAGGACAATGTTGACACCATATATATTTTAATGAAATCCTAATGAAATCCTAATTAAATCCTATCAATTTCTAACCAAAATATGTAGCAATATAAGAATCTCAAATATTATTAATTAAACCATTGGTCTTCTTTTAAATATTTTATATGTTCAATCTATTAAATAAAAAATATCATATATAATTTTAAAAAATTAAAATTAGAAATTATAATATATATATATATATATATATATATATATATATATATATATATATTTTCTTAGATGTCCACCATCTTCATTTTCTAACTTTGATGTTAATCTACTAGCTATAATTTATTGCACCATTTACATGCTTTCAAAATTTTAAATTTTTTTCAAATTAAATTCTATATCAGTTTACAAAACATATTTCAATCTAACCAATAAAATTTTCAAAATCATGAAACTCTTATTTATCTTTAAAACGTAATTTTTAAAATTCTAATCTAATTGAATTTCAATAATCTTTGATCTAATCATTTGATTAATCTCAAATTCACAAAAAATATATAAATCAAGAAAATGCACAATCCTACAAAATATCATTTGTTGATCTACTATAATACTTATAAAAAAATCATAATTTAAACTATTTTTTAGTTTATAAAATCCTAAATCACCTTAAAAAACCTTAACTTTGCCAAACTCTCACAAAGTCAATATCTAACTTAATTCTCTAAATCCAATGTATGAAAAAATCTTATAAAGTTTGTTTTTTAGTATTACTGTTTGATCAATTATAAAACCTTCTAATTGCCATAGGTGCAAGATTTTGTGTCTTAGAATTTGGTTTTGACCTTGGTTCACAACTAATCCTCTTTGGATATCAATCTTTAATATCTTTAGGTAATTTATGCTAGAAGCTACTTTTTATTTCTTCTCAAATTTTTTTATAATTTTTTATAATTATGTATATATATATTTGTTTTATTTATGGTCCTACAAAGTAAGAAAAAGCTTATTTTATAAAAATACAACATCATTGCTAAATGTTCATACTACTTCTCTATGATTTTATTTATTTATTTATTTTTAAATAGTTTCCCTACTATATTTTTTTTAGTTAAGTTCTATAATATAATCCATGTTTTTTTCTTTCACCTAATAACCATGTGTCAAGGACATGAATCTCAAACAAAGAAAATCCTCAATACACTCTTGTATCATTGAAAGGAACTAGAAAATCACTCAAAGATGATATAATATTGAACTAGAATGGCTATTGTCGAAAACAAGAAGACTAAAAAATCTTTGAACAAGACTAACGACTAGAAAGGTGTTGACAAGAATGAAGAAGGCTTCACTCTTGCCTCCATATATACTCTCTAACTAAGAGCTATGTGGCAATATTCTATAGGACCTCCAACATGTCTTGACTTTGCTAATCCACATGTCTTAACTTACAAGGCAATTTATCTATGTATGTGCCACATAGTAAGCTTATTTCAAAAGCTATTACATGGAGTTAACTTGTTCCACAAGCTATCAATACATGCTTAACTTGTTAGCAAAGTTTCTAACCTACAAACACATCTAAAGTCAAAACTGCATCTATGAAGCTTCTAGGAAGCTTATCTAGTAGACTTTATGAAATTAATCTATATTTACTTACTTCTACCTAATTATATAAGTAACTATTGGATAAATGTATATGTCCATGATACCATGTTATAACACAACAATTTATCAAACATGCCATCTCTTGTAGTTGATGTAATTAGCTTGGTCATTACAAAAGAACTTGCAAAGAACATATCTAGAGAGAGCCTAAGATTTTTATTCATGTTTTACACTATGTTTTTGAAATAAAAAATTTATTGACCTATTAATGATATACTCGCAGACTTGTTGGCCTATTAATTAAGTCTATTTTTGATAATTTTTCTAAAACAAATTCACACAATTGTATAAGTTATGAATGTTATTAAAATTTATCACACATAGAAATTTTTTGTTGTGGATTACATTCTAATCTATTTTTCTACCTATCTATCTATATACCTACTTTTTAAAATTAATTATCTTTAAATAGCTTTTAAATGTATAGATAGATAAATAAAAGAATAAAATTTTATATGTATTAAAAATAAATTCAAACAAGAGATCTTAAGTTAATAAAAGAAAAATATAAATTATATATATATATTTATAGAAAAATATTAAAACAATACACTTTATTTCTATGGTTTAATCTTTGTGACTACTTTTTCAATTTGAAAAAATAAAAACATGTAAATTCAATGTCAACACTCAAATCTTTATGATTGCCAATTACTTGTTTAATACACATCAATATAATTCATCTCACATAGTAAAATTATAAAATACAAGTGATGCACAATTTTTTTTGACCTTGTTCATTAAATATTGATATTTCTAAATTGGCCAAGAGGAGCCTTGAATAAATTTAATATTCTTATAGGTCAATTCAATATTTTCCTATGTATATATATATATATATATATATATATATATTCATAGAATTAATTAATTTAAATATATTTATTGAAAATATAATATATATACATAGGATAAATTAATTTAAATACATTTATTAAAAAAATTCAGATTTAATATTAATAATAATATTTTTCCTATGAATTGTTGCTACTACAAATGCAAGTGTTGATGATATTGATATTGTTGCTCCTAAATATCTTTTATTGAAACAATAATAACAAAAATTCACACATAGATTTACACATATATACATCCCAAAAAAAGAAACAGAAAAAGAAGAAAAAGAACCCTTACAAAAAAGAAAAAAATGATGATGTTATTGAAATTTATAATTCAAATCAATTGAGCTAAACTATTGAATAAAAAAGCTCAATAATAGGTTCTAATATAAAATTCCAATTTATAAATTAATTTCGAAAATCAATAATGGGTTTAATTTTTATATTTATATATTTTTCTCATTCAAATACGATATATTTAAGATTTTTCCTATTAAAAAGACTTGGAGCTGGACACAATTACTCTCACATTCAATCTGTCGGTGGTTAACGGAATCCTTCGTCCGTTCATGCTCAGTCATCGGAATCCTTCGTTCGTTCGTGCACAGTCATCGGTTTGAGCGACTTCGCGCACAAACCCCGCCGTTTTCCTGCCCAAAGAGCGCCGTCGAGGAATGCCGCAGCAGAAACTTGATCTGCTCTCGTTGTTGAAGGGTGTCCCAATGCACTTTGTCTTTTTGTTGTTGTTTATTTCTGTTGCGCTCTTGGTTATGTTACGCGACCCTGACCTGGAATTTTGTTTCTGTTTGCTGCACGAAGGGTGTGGAGCTCTGTCGAAATGCTGGCTTAGGCGGTTACTAGAGCATCCATGGAGGGGCGGACAGGAAGAAGCTCGGTGGCCAACAACGGGGGGAGGAATGCCGGGTTTGTTGTGCAGGATATAATCCCGGGCTTACAGTGATTCATTATGATCCGTCGATGTTGTTACGGGGATTGGTTTTGGCCGCGGCAACCGTTTCATTCCATGCTCTGGTCTCTCCAATTTCGGCAGACGGTTACCATGAGCTCGCGTACTAATTCCACTAGCACTGCTCATTGCTGTCGCCTTCTCACTTCTCTTTTTGCCTTCTTTTCTCATCACCTTCAACTCCTGCTCCACCAGATCGTAAGCAAATTTCACTTTTCGGAGAAAGCAACAATCAGAGGTTACTGGTGCCAGAAGTGAGCTTCGCCAGAGGAAATATTCTGTTGCTGGCAAGGAGAAATTTATCGATTGCAAAGTCGATTTGCAAGCAATTTACTTATTTGCCCGTTGCACGTCTTTGGAAAACTGAAAGTTGCCATGTTAGCCAATTGACCATGGTGTGTTGAGTTTGTCGCAGCTCAAAGATTGCTTGCAAAACTTGAACTCCGATGTGTCTGAAAATTTGTAGTAAACGTAGCTGTCTCTTTTGGATGGCTGGTTTCTTGTTGTCCAGATTATGGTGAAGATTTAAATCGAATTTGAGTTGCCTTGGGATATTGTCAAATTCTGCAATTCGCTTGCGTATTGCTTAAGATTTGCAAAATTTTACAAATCTGAACGATTTTTTTTCTTCTTGTGGTTTGCTAATAATTGGGCGATAGCTTTGATGCTAAAATTTACTGTACGTCATGCACGATGATAAACCATGTTGAAAGTGCGCACTTCCAGAGTAAACAATTGACAGGCTCTTGCAGCGCTGAAGTGTTGTAACATCAACAATCCTGACAAACTGGTGATACTATGTCCTATCGGAAATTCTAAAGAGATGGAGTAGCTCAGAGTATCATGTGTGAAGAATCAAAAGGAACAAATTTGTTCTCTGTGGCGGGATGCCGATACAATCCAAGTTTTTTTCAGCTCGAAATCAGTGAAATCAACGACGATGTCTAAAACTAAGGAGAAAGAGGACATAAGAAAGGAAGAAGAAAAGGAGGGAGAGGGACTAGAGAAGCCACAACCAGTGCGAAAATCCCTGGCAGTAACTAAAACGAGAACTCAATCTGAGAAAGAACACATGGAGTTTGCGAAGGTTTTTGATAGGCCGTGGGCAGCGAACTGGACTCTTAAGGCGAAGAAATATTTAGGCCTTTCATAGCTGTGACTCCTCAATCTGCGGCTGTTTCTCGTTCAATATCAGGTATGTTAGTGTGACATCACATCAGCGTGGACTTGAATACGAAGAAGGTCAAGCTTCCTTTCTCTGAATTTCTTAATGAGATTAGGAAGAGGAAGCTTGAACCTTAACCTAAATTTTGCAACATTGTGAGCTTGTTGTGCAGTTGGGAGGCACAGAAACACGTCTGGATGCTCTTGATTTGGAGAAATGGAAACCCACCTTGAATAATTGCGACTGATTCGGTTACAGTAATGAAGATGTAGAGCATCGGCAGCGTTAACCCGCAAAGAATTACCTTCAAATAGCACCACGGTTAGAAGTGGATTTATGTAAGTCTTACAATATAATACCCGGATTGGAGATGCGGCAGAGACGACACAGCTTCATTAGCAAAAGCAACATCGTGAACTCAGGACGCGAAGTCACAATCCTTCTTCTGAAGAAGCTGAGTAGATAGCTTCAAAGATGCCAAGGGGAGGCTTAAAAGAGGAGCAATTGAGTAAGGAAGGGTCACGGTATTTCAGCTACAGAGACCCTGAAGACTTTTCTTTCGATTTCACAAAGTCTAGACCATGGACAGAGAATGGTCGCATCGAAAGACATGTGCCTTGCGGTGTATGGAAGTCTCCGATGTATCTCAATCCAAGCGTGTACCCCAACAGGAATGTGCTGCGGTTTCCAACACGACCGCAGACTGGCAAAAATGTGCGGTGGGGGGAATTCAAAGGAAAACCCCAATTTGTTGAGAAGTGTGTCGATTCCCTGGAGAAAACTTTCGATGCTCGTGATAAATTTGCCACCCGACGCCCGCCACAGTACACAATTAAGCCACAGAAAGTTGACAAGCCTGGCCCTTGTTTTCATCGGGCGTTGCACAAAGCTGTTGCTTCGGGAGATAAAAACGTATCCAATAGAAGATCTCTGCTGACATTTCTTGCAAGTTTGCATCGTAAATTGTCAGGGCTGATAATTGCATACTTTTTGAGTGTAGGAAACTCTAAGGGAAGCTGTGAAGTAGGAACTCCGCAAATTATTTTTCCCCTGAATAATTATTTGCCAAGACGTAAATGCTAGGTCCTCTGTAGAAGGAAAGGGCACAAGCTAACCAACAAAAAGACAACGAAAAGACACTCTGTCGCACTACATTTCGCGAGAGACGTAGTCGCCTACCTGAACCTCTTCGAAGCTCGCTGACCTTATAGAACTTCCGATCTCGGTGGCGAAAAGACAGAGAGAGAGAGGGGTTAAAATTTCAGTATCCACAAGTGAAGGAAGACTTCGTATGATTTCACTACTAACTAGCTAGATCTGAGGATTCGAAGAGACTTCGTAATGTGATGTTTTCCTTAATCGAAAACCCGAAGCACATTTGCAGAATCGTAGATCCAGAGGGCCGAATCTATAGGAAGAAAGGAGGGCACTGGCTGTGCAGAAAATGGACGGAGCGATCGCAGCCTCGCGATCTTGTCAATCACACCATAAAAGAATGGGAGGTTTGTGACTCCTCATTATTCGAACCCTTTGCGTCGTCTCTATACTAAGATTGTATTCTTCCGTTATGTGTAAGTGAATTTTGAAATCTGCAACCCTGTACCAGGAGTGAGGCATTCTAAGTGAAAAATGCAGTTTCTACTCACTGGAAGCAAGATCTACAATTTACCTAAATCTTCAACTGAACTCGAGCATTCGCATTGTGTGGTCAAAAGCTTGCAGCTATGGTGCCTAGTGACAGCCCAAAGAGTAATTCTAGACTAGATTTGTTCTTCGCCGCTTTTCTAGTCTTGATTGAGTGTGCAGTGGATACTTCTGAAGTGGAACTGGTGCACATTGTATGCAATCAAGTCCCCATTTAGGATTTGATAATTACTGCCGGTTGCTCCAGGCCTTGACACGAGTTCCCAAGCTCATGCACTGTCGAATCATGCTGCATTACAGTTAAATCAGAGGCTCATCTGAAAGGTGAAAAGTATGAGCTTTTGGATGCTGAAAAACAGGACATGTTGAAGGACGAGGCTGTCAGAGAAGCCAGAGCAGAGGCCAAGTTCCAGAAGCTGATGCGAGACGTTTTTAGTGGCATGAAAGGGAAGAGCGGTGTGATGAAGGACATGACTGGGTTGCTCACTCGTGAAAAACACAACCATGACGACAAACAAGCGGCCATGTTCAAGCAGTGGGAGCAACACGTGTTTCACAATATCCAGAATCAGATCGCCAAAAAGCTCGAGAAATTCACACCCGACCAAATATCCAAAAAACTTCGTATGTCACGAGGAGTTGTCCATTTCTGGATCTACTTTTCCCAGGTTTAATCAAAAGTACCTATGGAAGCTCAAGTCACAGAACTAATCCACAAAGAGTATCATTCTTGCAGGTTACCAGCAGATGCGGTACGCCAAGGCAGTTGACGAAAGGAGAATTTTCCGAGACATCGTAAACGAAAAATATGATCCTTTTGAGTTGGAGCATGCTGGGGTTCACTACAACACCAAAACGCTTCTGGACCCCATGAAGCATGACTTGGGAAAGGTTTTCGACGCTTCCGTCGTTAGATGTTCCAAACTTCGTTCTATGCACGTTTTTTTCGTAAAAGCTGTCGTAAGCACGTCATCCTCACAGACTATTCAATATTCAGGAAACGTGGTTGATGGTGGTTCATGATCTGAGGTTGCTTACATGGCTGACTCGGTGCAGGAGAAGAGGGAAAAAGGATTTTTTGGTGAGCCTGTTTTCCACCAGGCGCGTACCAAGGAAACCTTAGATCCATTCTACTGGACTTACGATCAATTCCGGACTACAGTGCATGGTCATTTAAATGCCGATGACGAAGACTTTACATATAAGACAAGAGAAATGAATCTGAGTAACCTCTTAACCAGGACTCATCTAAATATTCCCCGACAGTTCACGATGTTGAACTATAACATCAGAATTAGAAGCTGCAATTTTTCATGTAAACGTGATATGTTAACTCTCTGATACTACTACATGAACTACATAATTTACGTGAGATTCTAAGACTGTTCCGAATATATCTGCAGAAAATGGCATTCCAAACCCGTACCTTGGAATGGTACATGGGGTGACGAACACTGGAATGAAGCATTCCCGCTGAGAGGAAAATGTGTAAGTAAACTGCCACAACGCATATGTTGAAACCACCAACATTCCAGTGCGGTTATCAATCATGGAAGCCACTAGTTATTAGTGATTACCGAGGTCGTGATAGTATTTACGTCTTCCCTCACAAGGTATGGGTTAAAGCCAGCGCGTAAGGGCGTATATAGAATGCGATACTCATACAATATCCCGTTCTTGAATGTTCCGTTCAACCGAAACTGCGCAATTTAAACGTTAAATAAATGTTGTTGGAGTTGCAGCTCTACGTGCCAAGACCACTAGACGGCTGCGAGAGGAATTGGCGAATTGGAAAGGGTCAAGTGAAAGAGAGTCCAGTGAAAAACTACCCCAAACTCCAAATTTCAACGGGGGGCACTTCGTTCTAATTCCCTGTCCAGCTTTCTGATGCCACTTAACATACACGAATTTGAATGGGCAGAGATAGACAAACTCTATTCTCCTAGAATGCACCAAGAAAAGTCATGTATCCAGCAAGTATTTCAGCGAAGTACATCTTTTAATCTAGATTAGGTTAGATTAGATAACGTAAGGTAATTGAACGGAATTGTAGTGAAGGTGAATTTAATTCAAGAGCAAATATAATTGAAACATGTCAACGCAAAGAATCTCTGATCTATACAATCCTTGAGTAATAACGTCATACTAGACCGTCGACAAGAAGAGACAAGGCAACATCCACAAATCAACCACAAAAGTGCCTATAAGTATACAATCCGCGTATATCCAACTTGCAAATCCACTAAGTAACGCAGCAAACAATCACCGTCGATGATGATCCGAAAACAATCAGGGCAAACATAAGCTACATGCTGCAACTAAAACATCAACGAACACAAAACAAATTATCAAAGGAGAACAGGAGTAGAAATTGCAGAATCCTTTAAAAGAGGTCTTACTCACATTCCTGAATGTTGAAAACAATACCAGGTACCATCACATCCATCAGAGCGTATCAACACACCAATGACCCTAACCCTAGCGCTTCCATCTGCCTGGTTTCAGAGATCTGCGTCTCATCTCCACTTTCACCAAGATCTTCTCTACCGCAGCGTAAACTGCAACGAGGCATTCATAATGTCCAGGTTTCCTCCACAACCCACTACATCTTCCCTAACTCTGTTCAGTGGGCATGGAACGGATGATGTCCGAGTCACCAGGGTCGGTAATGCTCAACGTGCAGACACGGAAGTACTTCCCGCAGGCAGTCCCCAAATCCACATTGTTGCCGCTGTAGTGGTGGACACCAGTCTTCGAGAGCATAGCGTAGTACTCGATCTCGGACTTGCGGAGGGGCGGGCAGTTGTTGGCAATGATCACGAGCTTGCCCTTGCCACCGCGCAGCGACTTGAGCGTGGTAGTGTACCCCAGCGTGTACTTGCCGGACTTCATGACCAGGGCCAGCCTGTTGTTGATAGACTCCTGAGCTTTCTTCGTCTTCTTGGCGGCCACCATGGTGCCTGAGCTAGGATGCGACGGCCTCCCAAGGGCTTCGACGGGCGCGACTGGAAAGCAGAGCTGAGCTCCAGAGCTGGTGCTGCACAAAAAGAGGTGTGAATTGTGGCATCCTCTGCATTTGGCCCAGCCCCACGCCTCCCCCAAACCCTAATTCTCACTCTCGATTGATACCCTGATCGGATATTCGATCCAGTTGCCCCTTGAAGACAGTTAATAAACCGGTTATCAATCAAACCTCTCGTCTCGCACCTTGTTCTCTGCTGCTTGTTTTGTGCATATCCTCGGTAGCTGTTTTGCTACTTCATTTCAAGGATATTCAAGGAAACCCCTGCGTTGCATTTGAAGACGATGATGGGGATTGATGGAATTTGAGGGGAGGTGGAGGAGCTCGTCTGAACCGCAGCAGGCGATTTGAATTGGGTTCCAGAGGGGAATGGTGATGGCGGCCCTGGTGGGCAATGCTGGCCGCCTGATTGCCTCTTCAGCTGTTCGCTGCACTTGCTCTGCTCCCGTCCGCACTCGACGTCTTATTTGCTTCTCAGCTTCTCTCCAGAAGCCGCAAGCCGCGGGCATCTCGGCTCCGGAACTTGATTTTCCTGGGATTGTTGGTGATGGAGGGTTTAACGCTGCTGGGAGAGCGCCTCGGAAGGTGTCCCTGAAGGATATGACGTTTCCGGAGCTTGAGAGGTGGGTGGAGTCTCATGGCCACAAGGCAAGTAGGGCTGCTATGTTGTGGCGTCATCTGTACGGGAATGGGAAGTGGGTGGAGTCTCCCGCTGTGATTCCTCGGTTGAACAAGGAGTTCGTATCGTTGCTTGAGGAGAGGGCAGAATTCGCACCGAATTTGCAGTTGCGGGATGTGCATACAGCTAGGGATGGGACGCGGAAGCTTGTATTCTTTTTAGAGGAGTATGGCGCTTCTGTGGAGACAGTGGTGATTCCTGGACCGAGGGGCCGTGTCACTGTGTGCGTGTCGAGTCAAATTGGGTGCGCCATGAATTGTCAGTTTTGTTTTACTGCAAAGATGGGGCTGCGTGGGAACCTCAGCACAGCTCAAATTGTGGAGCAGCTAGTGGTGGCTTCTCGGATTGTTAGCAAGGACCTGGGGCACGTCACGAATGTCGTCTTCATGGGCATGGGGGAGCCTCTCCACAACATCGACAGTGTCATCAGAGCGGCGGAGATTATGGTAAACGACAAAGGATTGCATCTGAGCCCCCGGAAGGTTACTATCTCAACGTCAGGTCTAGTTCCGCAAATTCGAAAGTTCTGTCGATCTTCTGAATGCGCTCTCGCAGTGAGCCTGAATGCTACCACTGATGATATTAGGGATCAGATTATGCCCATCAATCGGAAGTATAATATACGCACATTGCTAGATTGTGTGAAGGAGGAGATGATCACGCACAGGCCAGGCGAATCAGTATTTCTTGAATACGTCATGCTGAAGAATGTAAACGACTCAGAGGAAGACGCCACCAGGCTTATTGAGTTGGTCAAAGACATCCCTTGTAAAATTAACCTTATAATGTTTAATTCGCATCCAGGTTCTGCATTCGAACCTACACCTTTGGTCGAGGTTCTAAGATTTAGGGATAGGGTCGCTGATGCAGGCTTAGTGGTGCATATTCGTAATAGTCGCGGTGACGACGAGAAAATGGCTTGTGGCCAGCTCGGTACTGTATTGCCTAGGTCTCCAAGGAGACGCAAACAAGAAATGCAAGAACCTGCGTAGGGTTTCTGTTGCTGAACTGCTTGTAGTCTTCTCATTTGAATTGACAACAAGACTACGATTGTTGCGATCGTAACTTCAAGTAATGTCTAATGAATTCATGCTTATTTGTTGCTCATGTTACATGCTGTCCACAATCTGGAGTGTGACTTTGGGTACGCTCCACATCTTGTGTATAGCTGGCATGTGGTGAGCGGATCTTGCCCGTGTTACTTTGGGGTATTTGCGGGTGGGAGAAGAAGCCATGGCAGTCGACGTTTGTTACCTTGTATAGGTTTGGTATGTATGTTCGTATATCTAGTGGGTTGACAGAAGCTGTGAAACTACCTTGTTTCCACTGATCTTTTCAATTTTATGGGATCGTTGTTTCATCATTGTCTCCCAAGTTTAGGGTTGCATGGACTGCTGCTTGAAATGTCTGAAATGAGAGGAGTGAGAAAAGAAACATTGTCATCAACAGTACGAAAGAAGAGTACATTGTACTTGAGAGTGCACATTCACTGAGAGGGTGGAAATCCTTATGGATGAAACGGATGTATTGTTTGACACTGGCACTGGAATCTAGCAGTATCTGCTCGTGTTCGTTTTATCAGCATTCTGTAAGTCATTTTGCCCAGTTGGTGTTGTGTTGTAGATTGTTTTGGCGGATTTTATTGTCATATGGTAGCGGCTTTGGATTCCGCTGTGTACATCTGAATTCTCTGATTTACCAATTAAGTTGAGGTGTTCTGTGTAACGATCAACGCAAGGTTTTCGTTTCAATCGAATGTTTAGAATTTAGGGTACACCATGTCAGATTGTTTATATCTTCAAAGACACAGATTGCATTACTTGCGCAGCTTCACATTTGCGGCGTAATCTTTCTGTTGTCCTTCCACCTTGCGATGTGTTGCCCTGTCTAGTCCTCAGCAGTAAAATTCGAATCCTTCTCTTCTATATCTTCTCCTTGACTAATTGTATTGTCTGCTTGATTGTTGCAATCCCAAGGTACTGAATTAGCGTAAATTGATGAAAGTTTATTTTAGCTTTGACATGAAGTGGACCCAGACTGGACCAACATTCTCTATTAACTTAAAGTTTAATGAATAAGTGAGTAATCAGGAATCAAATCAATGCTTCTTGTTGTTGCGGAGGGATAACATTGACATGTCTACTCTTGTTTACTCAACATGAATTACTGCGTATTTGACCTAACAATGAATCAACTGCATTCCCTAGTGTAGCTCCTACTGAACTAGGAATCATGAGGAGTCACCTGTTGTCTCAAACTGAATCTGTGAATGAAGGTTACGCAGCGTAACAAACAGGATCTAAGCAGTGGATTCAAATGCAAATCTAGGGGAGTAGTGCAACTTCGAAATCCAAGTGCAAGATGGCGCTTTATGAAACTTCGTTCATTTCTCTTATTCAGTTCGCCGTCTTCGACAAGAAAATTCGGTGGTTCAGTCTAATCCCTTGAAGCATCTCTCAGATCGAGCACTTTGGAAAGTGTGTACTGGAGCCAGGACCTTCACTATGCACTTGGTTTTTGTGGATAGAGCAACCATTAATGTGGTCGGGCTGTACTGTGCTTGGTGCGATTTGAATTTCTGTTCGAGCAATTTATGTCAACCTACGGTACTCCTTCACTGATGGTTTAATTTTACAAATGAAAGGACCTGGGATAGGACTAATTCGTGCGTTTCCTTAACATAACCACTAGATGATCACAGCTTCTAAAAATTGCCTCCTCAAGTTGGTCTTTCAGATCACATTAAGATAGGGCAATGGCTTCTTTTCCATCCAATGAATCCCACAGCTATTGGAAAAACCACCCAGGTAAACATGTTATTTGGATCTCATTAGTCACATTTTTTTATGTAGTGGTCCTCCAGGAACTTACCCACTTGAGGAACTCGGGATTTGCGCTATATACACAAGGTTGTTCCGTCTTGTATGAACTATCATTGTAGTATCCAAAGTGGGTCTATCTCGTGTGAAGGAATGCTGGTGTTCTCGTGATGCTCAGGTGCTCTGCACACAGCCTACTTTCTGCAGCGATGTTTCCCACTTGTAAGTAACTAAGATCAGAATCCTACGACAGTTCATTGAACTGTGGATTGGCAGATCTTGCCAGCGATGCAGAGTAAACTTTCGGTCCCTCCTCAAAGCCAAGGTTACCGGGCTCCATGCAGCATTATTTAGGTTCCACGGTGATGATGGTGGTGGTGCTGCTGAGTCCACCAGCCTACCATTTGTTGTCAACTGAGGTGGGTATCATCAACCACTTGTGATGACTCTGACACTTCTCACAGACACAACAGAGATGTGTACAAACCATGTGCCACATATAATGTGATCTTGTACTGGAAGTTTCTCTTTTCTCTCTCTCTCCTCAAGGCAAATTGAGATGCAAGGATGAAGTCCAAAAATCCACCCTGGCAGCAGAGTTGTGCACTTCAGGTGCTTCATTCCCACTTTCTCACTTGCTTTGCGTTTTACTATCACTGGGAAGCAAGTTCGAATCCATTTTGGTGGACCCCAGGAATGATTTATTCCATTACAATGAGATTCTAGGCCAAACTTTTAATTCACTATTGACAAAAAAATTATGCACTGAATTCAAGGTCTCATGCAGCCTCCCTCGAAATGCAGAAAAGTGTACCATCTATTTTGCCGGGTCTAAAGTTTTTGAGCCTCTGAACCGTCTTTGAAATTAAGTTTGAAAACAAGTGGAAAAGAGTTGCTGGTGTTGCCCTGGGCCTGGACTCATGTAAAGTGGCCCCCCGGCTGGTAGTTTCTTCAACAAGGTTTTTGGCTTTGGACTGATACTCGATAATAGTGCTGTTCAGGTGCTCTGATGATATATAGTACTTCCACAGACACTGCTTTTTAATAAAAGAAAAAAACTAAAGTTAGTTTCCGAAAAATACTAAAAATAGAAGAATCATTTAGACCCCAGTTATGAAGATTCTGGGCCTCTTATTTTATTTTATTTATTTTCCCGTCAAATTTTCGTCATATTTCTGTTCTTTTTCTTTATCTGCCACATGATTCCAATCTTGTGTTCAGATCCTTCTACTCGAAAAATACACCTTCCTAATTTACGTCTCTATGTGTGAGTTTACAACAGGTGGTTCTGATATCAATTATTTTTTTATCTCTCTCTCGCTCTCTCGCTCTCTTCACACACACATGAATTTATGTATGTAAGTAAACGTGTCTGCATGCACTGAAGGCTTTTTCTTTTATTATTTTGAGATTTTTCTGGGTTCAATTCTAAGAAATAGTCAGGTGGCACACCACTTTTTTTACCAGGAATTGGTGTAGAAACGTTGCAAGCTCATCGTCCGATGCACCCCCCACCCCCAGCATTATTGCAGATGGATCATCACACCTCCCCTCCTCAATGATCAGTTTAAAAATGGGCCCAGCTTGCTTCATTCTTGAGCTATCACAACTGGCTTGAGACCCACATTTGCCTGTCTTATGTAACACCGGGCTCAAAAATGCCATTGGGTTCACATCTCGATTGGACAAAATAAATTTCCTGAAGGTTTCGTGACTTCTTTGCAGCTAAACTAGTTTCATGTTCAATTTCGGATTAGGGCGAGCAATTAGGTTCTTGGACCGCGGATAATCCAATGCCCTTAATTTCATGTACTTTCTTAACCTCATCTCCAGGAAATGCTTCCACTAGGATGTGTTACGGCTCCTCAAGCATGTGCACATAACTGTATGAATGGATATGTCAGGAGGTTTCAAAGAATAGCTGTGGAAATTTGAATTGTTGTGGTACAGTAGGCGTGAAGATATGTTGTCCCTTTGTTGTGCGTGGCTTTGAATGCGCTGCAACAACAGAGATACCTCACATCCATAGGGGTGTGCTGTGTGTGTAAATGTGAATATATATATATATATATATATATATATATATATATCTTAAGGAAAGAAAGAACAGCTTATAATGTGATCTGTGGGAATAGCAATCACCCTGTTTTTGAAACAGCATTAAAATAGAATGACCGACGCACATGTGATTCAGCCTTTGTGCTTAACCATTACGAGAAACATCTAAAAGTGTTTTCAATCCGCAGTAACATGGATTATTCATGGAGAGAGTGGACGATGAGAGTCTGCAAAACGCAGGCCTGCAAACTGGCACCGAAATCAGGGACAGGAACGCAGAATTCAATGCACATGGGGCTTACGGTAAGCGATGCCCTCAGGTGGCCACTTTCAAAGTCAATGCAAGAGGAGCCGATTGCTCGCTGCTACTCTTCTACCCCTCCTCGTCAATCAATCACTCTCTTGCGTGGATGAAGTGATCGTCGTCAGACTCCAGCCTTGTGGCTCGACAAGATGGGTGACCCCTGATCTCAGCAGCAGTTATGATGGGTTTACAAGCACCTGACAGATATTATTCTTTTTTCAAATTTCAGTGTCATCACAATCATGAATCTACAAGCAGATTCTCCATTAAGAAGAGTTAAGCTTAAGCGCAAGAATCAGACATCTCATGTTGCCGCAGTGGATCATGCAAACTTCTTCTAATAGTCAGGCTCATGAGTGGCACTGTAACTCAGAGTTGTCACTTCCACAACATCTCCTCTCTCATGCAAGCTGCCGTCACTGAACGCTCTTCCTGCCCATCTGTGAGGATTTTATCTTTTTACTTTTAATAATTCGGAGTACGACGTAGAACTCGATCGTAAATTTCAAAGCTCCCCAGGTTTGACTGTAGTTTGAATGGATTGCTTTGCTTGCGTGCTCTGTAAAAGGGTCCATATTCTCAGGGTTTGTATGCTCCAAGGTCCTTCCTCTTGATGCGAGAATTTGCTAATGCAGGGTCCATGTCAAGCAAAAGAGTACCCAAGAGTACGCCCGCAATGTTTGTTAGTGCCCAAGTAGCTGGCGAGCGGTGCGAAACCTGGCGTCGGTTTGTACTTTCCAAAGTCTGGAGTGCTGGAGTAGTAACTTGGCACCTAACAATCACCCAGTCTGGCTAGCGATCTGGTGAGAGAGACAGCAAAGAGCTATCTAGTAGGAGATTTCTGGGAGCGGGTCGAAGAATTGCCCTTGTTACATGGGATTCTTTCGAATTTGAAGTATGGGAGTAGGAGTAGAGCGCAAGGAGCCCACTCAAGAACCTTGCAAGATAGCGGAGACTTCGGGAGAGGTTGGCATGGAAACTGAGGCTTCAATTGCAGAGCGGCTTGAGGATTTCGGAGCGATTTTTAGTTAAGCTTTGTTGAAAACAGTCGTTTCCTGGCCCGTATTGGAGGCAGCAGGGGGTTGACGTTACCCTCCACGTAGGGATTCTACTGCACCCAGATTTCGGAGACTATTGCTATTTCCTCCTTTCTGTGAAGATTCATTCGCAGAGTAATTCGCCGAAACTAACGACAGGGGCGCCTGACCTTCTCTTGATTGGATGGGTGTTTCCTCGAGTTCAAACCGAGTGATTAAAAAATGGCGGGATCCCAGGAGATTAAACTTGTTGTATTCTACGTTATTGCTGTCTCTGCCATCAGTTGGGTTGAACTGGCTCAAGGATACAGACTACTTCCGAGCGAATCTCAACGTCAGCATTTGCCTCTGAGCACTCCAGATACAAATTTAGAAGATCCTGCAATAAGGGTCGGGCACGGTCGTTATGCACGAGATCAACGTTCGGTAGTCCCGGATGCGGTCTTCAACACTCCTTACGCAGAGAAGTCTCGGCATCTGCTGGACTTCGAAACTCCAGCCGGTACACTCAAACTGGAAACCTCCTAATCCTGGCAGATTTCCGGATTTGAGCCTCAAGATCCATGAACACTGTTCTAACTGCTGATTTCCACAGTCATTAGCACAGAGGTGGTGATTAAATTTAATGAACGTTTGGTTGTGGGTGCAGCTTGGAACCATGTGAACGTAAACTGGTTGCTAGTCGCCATCCTCACCCCTACCTCCTTGGTAGCCGTGGGCATCGTCATTCTTCTGTTGGTGCTCTGTGCTCGCAAGCAGCGGAACAGCAAACCCAGCATGCTCATCTGGACCAATCAGTCCACTTTGCAGCGCCAATGTGACGGCGTTGACTTCAGTTCAGATTCCTCCAGTATGGGCACAACAGCATTCATTTTCTGTGAAAAACGTAGTGGATCATTAAAAGAAATCAACAGGGTTTATAGAAATAACTGCTCTAAATATTTTGTGCCGCCATAGATCAGCGATGCAGTGCCAGCAATGTGTGTTCAATCTTAGCCAGTAATTTGCAGATATGCCAAGAGAGATTGGATTGGTGCTTATACGATCGCCTCTCTCAGCAGGGTCGACGAGGTTCGAGACGATGAAATTTGGGCCGTGGTTGAATCACCTTCAAAGTATCAAAAGTTGCGTGAAGAGCGGAGGCCTGGCCGCCGCGCCTTGCTCATTGGCCTACTCTCTTTTACAAACTGCTACGAACAACTTCAGCTCCTCCAATTTGCTGGGCGAGGGAAGTTTCGGGCATGTGTATAAAGCGAGACTCGATTATGATGTCTATGCCGCTGTAAAGAGACTTACCAGCGTAGGAAAACAGCCCCAAAAAGAACTCCAGGTAATGAAATCCACTCATCCAAGTGTATCATCAGTCGATTCGATTGGTGATGGAGAATTGCCGCTCCTAAATTTCACTGGTGGTGGTAACGAGGTGGTTGGATTGTTTGTTATAGGGAGAGGTGGATCTGATGTGCAAGATAAGACATCCCAACTTGGTGGCTCTCCTGGGCTATTCAAATGACGGCCCAGAGCCCTTGGTTGTGTACGAGCTCATGCAGAATGGTTCACTTCATGATCAGCTTCATGGTACACGGATCTTGATATAATTTACCTATGCCAATATTTCATTTCTGTTCTTAGTTTTGATCAGCCTCTTGATTCATCTATCTGTTGAGTCAGAAATGTTACTGATCAAAAAAAGGTCTGTTGGTCTAAATTAGGCCCCTCATGCGGGAGTGCACTCACCTGGTACCTACGACTAAAGATTGCTCTTGAAGCTGCCAGGTCTGCAGATGTTGATGCTTTTGCAATCCCTCTTCTCGTTTTCAACCTTCCTAGCTTCGAAAAACTCGCATGTTCTTTGCTCTTTGTTGATAGTAAATTTGTGTTAGCAGAGGACTGGAGCACCTGCATGAAAGCTGCAAGCCTGCAATAATCCACAGAGACTTCAAGGCATCCAACATCCTCTTGGACGCCAGCTTCAATGCGAAGGTTCGCTTCCTGCCATGCCCATCAGTGAAGAGCAGTCACCCTACTCAAACTTTCCTACTGCATTTTCAAATGTTGAATTTTCAGTGGAACTCTGATAAGAGGTTTGAGCACTGCATAAATCATGACAAATGTAATGACGGCATCTAAGCATCGTCCAGGTGTCCGACTTTGGTATAGCGGTAGCTCTGGAGGAAGGTGGCGTGGTGAAAGACGACGTACAAGTGCAAGGCACCTTCGGGTACATTGCTCCTGAGTACCTGATGGACGGTTAGTAATCTCAATAAAATTTGCTATACAAATGCTCGATAATGATGTTTTATTTGGATGACATCTAAACTGATGAGATCGGTGTTGTGTGACCATCTAAAGTACGAGCTTTCTAATGTAATGATGAAGCATACAATGTTCGCAAGAATAACATTTATTCTATATTAAATGTACTAATCCAGCAGCTGTGTTTTATTCGGTATGCAATCCAGGGACATTGACAGAGAAGAGTGATGTTTACGGATTTGGAGTAGTATTGCTTGAGCTGCTGACAGGCAGACTGCCCATTGATACGTCCTTACCACTCGGATCGCAATCTCTAGTGACATGGGTAAGTCTGACTAAAGGCTTAGGACTTAATCCAGTCTCGTCATTTTGCATTCAAAATCCAAATGTAAACATCTAAAACTGAAACGATACAATGATATAATGTCATACACGCATAAATGTATACATGTATATATATAACCCCACCAGAAAGATTTAACCAACTGATAATTGAATACATCTGCGTTTCAGGTAACACCCATACTAACTAACCGAGCAAAGCTGATGGAAGTTATCGACCCCACCCTTCAAGATACGCTGAACGTGAAGCAACTTCACCAGGTAACTCCCACAGTGATAAAATCCAGAATCGCTTAGACTTCAACTGAGCCTTTCTTTTTTAGGCATGCAACAAAGGAAAGCACGAACATAAGAATTTGACCAATGAGCAGAATTCCCTTAACCATTACCCTCTGAATTCGATTTCTTCAACAACGATTCTGGTAGCACCATGATGATGATGATGGCTTCAAATCGTTAATCAAAGTCCTTCGCATGGAATTCGGTTTCGGGTTGGAGATTATGTACCTCAAATCGACTGACCCACAATGGCGAGCTTCTCATGCAGGTGGCCGCAGTGGCAGTCCTTTGCGTCCAAGCGGAACCCAGCTACCGCCCTCTCATCGCCGACGTGGTTCAGTCACTGGCTCCGCTGGTGCCTCAAGAGCTCGGCGGCGCATTGCGAGACCCAAAGTCTCAATGCTTACACAGCGATAGCGGCAAACTGTCGGTGGACCCACTCTGCGGTGCCGAACTCATGGACACCGAGCTGCCGTCTTTCAACTCGCAACGATCGGACTACAGTTTGTATTCCGTCGGCGACGATTCGTCGATATCGAGGAGTTCAATTCTGGATAGATCCCGATCCTGGGAGCACGTGACCCGCAGCTTGGAATTACAGCAACGATTCGACGATCAAGGCAATTGATGAAATATCGACACACCAACACACCGACACACCGCACCGCACCACACCCCAAATTCCCTCCGTTGATTCAATATACCGTTGACTCAGAGTAGCATATTTTCATGAGTTGTTTGCTTTTATAGTTTATGGGTTACTGTTACTTTACTCTTGTGCCTTTCGTCACACAGGAATTAAATCGCATTTTGTCTGCGAATTGTGCATTCTTCTCTTCCCCCCTTGTTGGTTTTTTTCTTTTCCTTGTTAATTTTTTTAATTTTTTAATTTTATCTTCACTGTAAAGGAATTAGTGTTTTTGTGGAAATCATTTTGAAGGTGGATAATCGATTTTACGGTTGGAAATAAGACTGGCTCAAGGGACAACGTGATGATTTAAAGGAGATCTTGACTTTGGTATTAGAAAGTCTCTGAGGAACATAGAAAAGATATGCAAGTTGAATAGTAAACCGTGTGTTAGTGACAGAATAAAATCATACCCATTGACTGCAATTATAATAAAATAAAATAAAAATAACTAACTAACTAGAGAATAATAATAATAAAAAAAAATATTGAATAGGAAAAAACTAAGATAGTGGTAGAGATATTGGCATGAATAAAAAAAATTAATAAAAAATTTTAAAATTGTATAAAGTTCAAGAAATCTTTTAAATTAAGAAAGAGAAAGACACTTGTAATAAATTGATCAATACAATGAAAGAGGTTAAAAAGTTAGAGATTGTGATAAAGGAATTGAAAAAAATAGAAATTAAAATTGTAATATATTAATATTAAATAAGAAGTAAAAATTTATATTGTCATATAAAAGATATACTTTTTATTAGATCAAGAATGATTATTGAGTTAATAAAGATATGGAAGAGATATTTAAAAGATATATTTTTTTATCTAATAAAGAAGAAAAAGAAGAAAATAAAAAATAATGCATTACAAAAAGTTATACAAGTCAATTATTGCAATTACAACAAAAAAAATAAAATGGCTTTATTTTATTTCTATGAATACAAAAAAATTAAGAAAGAGAACCAAAAAAATCATATAAGTTATTTGTAATAACAACCTAAAATATGGTTGGACTAATGTAGCTAATATAAAACTTAAAGCTTTTTGGATTGCCAACAAAGATATTAGTGGAGAGAGGTTCTTAATCTTAGGCATGGACAAAGTTTCTACCATTAAAAATACAATTATTGCATAATTTTTAATTTTCAAATTTAATATAAAATTTCAAACTATTTAAATAATTTTCTTTATTGCCTTCTAATTTCATTGCAGCAAGTAAAAAAAAAAAAAAAAAAAAATGTTTTTCAATTCACATACACAATGCTTATGTTTCATTTTTGTTGTTGATTGTTGATTATTTATTATTAGTATAAGAATGAATTAGAATTGGTAGGATAATCTTCTTTTTTTTTTTTTTTTTTTTTTTGTACATAAATATTTTCTATTTTTATTACAAATGAAATGATTACTTTTAGTGAAATTTAAATAGTTAATAAACAATAGTGATGTCATATCTATGTAGGCTTCTTATAGTTAAATCTTTAATGGATAATATATTTATTTCATATATATTTTTATTTTTTAATTCTTTCAAAATATATTTATGTGCACATAATATACGTCTTATACTTTACAATCTATCTTTAAATTGAAATAGAATAATTTTGATAGATTATATATATATAAAATAAAACATGGAATTTTTTGTATAGAACATCTCAAATGATCTAGAGTTAGGAGTTTTGGTAATAAAGATAGTAATAAAAATAATAATATTATCTAAATTAAAAAATTAATAAATATTTTATTTTTTAAAACAAAAAATATATATATAAGAAAAAACTTGTGCTGTTAGACATTGCAATCTCTGACACACCCATCTATTTTCTTATTTATATATGCTCTTTTATTTCCATATTCTTCAAGTTCCCTTTTTCATGACCAATCAAAAAACTTCTTTTTTTTCTTTGTATTATATCCAAGTTGTCTTATATAAAAGATTAGTTGAACTTATGCTATTGTCATGGATATACCATGATATATTTTCTATAACAATGGCATGGATCCTATCCAAATATGATCCACTTGGTATCTATAGATTTAGGCAATTAATTCTTTTAATTAATTTTTCACAAATACAATTAATCAAAACATTGTCATTGTTTGGACTCTTTAAAATATCAAATAATTTCAAAATAGCATAATGACCTCTAGGTGATTGCTACCTACAAAAAAAAAAAAAAAAAAAAAAAAAAATCTTATTAGAATAATATCAATAATTGATTACATTTGTAATTTTATTTAACTTTGTGTAACCTTGCAAATTCTTGTGGACTCTTTCTTGATTCAATGGAAGCTTTAACTAATAGAATTGTTAGATCTTTTAGTCCATTGCGCTTTAAAACTTAAGCCAGTATTAGCTCAATTGCCAAATGGTCCTTACCATCATCTATAAGAATGTCCTTGCCATAGAATTTGTAAAACAATCTTTTTTGTGCATCTAATCGTTATTCTTCAAGTCTACTATATAGTATCATGGTTATTGTTGCTTGTTCCAAATACCATATTCTTGCAATATCAATATTTATAGCAATTTAGTCCTTTTACATATATATCAAGAAACAAACACATACAAAATTGAATTCAAAATTAATTAAAGCATAGTACTCGTTTCTAGAATAAAGATATGGTGAAAATTAGGACCATGAAAATGAGGCAAGAAATTGATACAAGCATGTTGAAAAAAAAATTAAAATAGGATAAAATAAAACTTATATCAAATCACCAAAAATTGATACTTATAGAAGACTAGTTGTCAATGTGGATCAAAATCAGACCCTAAGATATAAAACCATGTCCATACATCGACTTTAGGATTCTTTGATAGATTCAATAGTATAATTTGAGAACAAACTTGAAGAAAGATTTTAAAGCATTGATTTCATGTCAATTGAATCAATATTGAGTTTTTGAGGGATTTTCAAAGTTAGTGATGTTCTTGGTAGGACCAGGATTTAAAAAATAAAAATATGTTTACAAATTTGAGGATTTCTTGAGTTTTGTGTTGTGTGTACAAGTGAAATTTAGGTAGTATATTGATGTATTAGTTGTAAATATGTATGCAAATTTTAAGGTCAATTGAATGGTTAGATTGAAGTATAAGAGAGTTTTTGTGGATTGAGGTCTCAAAAATTGAAATTTGAAGGCTAGTGAGTATTTCTAAGATCTTCAGCAATTTGTCAATTAAATTGAAATGAATTTTTTTGTATAGATATTAGACTCAATTACCAATGTTTAGGTGAATTTTGTGAGCAATTCAATGATTTAAGAAGGAAGTATTAGTGTTAGAAGTTCAGCATTCAGATTGGAATAAGAGGCCACCCAACACCTCATTGGATTATCTTGTATTTCTCTCAATTAGTAAGTGCAATTAATTTCATCTTTCTTGTGCTTGTTTCTAACTAAGATGTTAAGGAATATACAAATTTTGAATTGATATCAATAATTTAATCATTAGTTGTTGACATTCTAATTTTCTATAGGATTTGGTTTAGGATTTGTCTAGAATTTGGTTAGGACTTAGGATTTGGTCTAGAATTTGATTAATTGAAAAAGTATATAGCCACTAATCAAATACTATTTAAGTCTGCTACTACTACATATGATTCATTACATGTAGTAATATGATTATATAATGAAAAATAAAAATATGGATATTATTATAGAAGAGCCTAATAAAAAGATATAAAAAAATAATAAATTAAAATAGTAAAGAATTTAGTCTTAATATTGCTTTTTATAGAAGAGACTTCTATTTACTTTGTAGAGGCATAAACAAGCCAAATTAAAATAAATGAGATAAGAAATTGATATAGATATGTTTAGAAAAGATTTAAAAATAGATTAAAGCAAAACTTACCTCAAATTATCAAACAGTAATACTTAGAGATGACCAATTGTCAACCTAGGTCAAAATCAGAATCCAAGGTACAAAATTGTATACCTCTGGCAATTCCAAGGATCTTCTACAAATCAAAGAGTGCAGTGTGAGAAAAAAATTGAGAAGGGATTTTTGAATGTTGATTTTATGTTTTTTGGATTAATATTGGAATTTTGAAGGATTTTCAAAGATTAGTAATGTACTTGCTAGGTTTAGATTTTGAGAAATAAAAATAAGTTTATCAAATTTAGGATTTTGTGAATTTTAGAGCATGTTTATGAATAAAAATTAGATAGTTTGTTTTTGTGCTTGTTATAAATGTATGTGAAAAATTTGAGGTCAATCAAGTAGCTAGATTGAAATATATGGAGGTTTTTGTAGATTATAGTTTAAGAAATTGGAATTTAATAGATTGATTAGGATTTCTAAGATATTTTTCAATTTGCTACTTAGATTGAAATATGATTTTGTTCAAGTAGCTAGCTTGATTTTCAAAAAAATTGTAAAGTTTGAAACAAATTGAATGGTGAAACTAAGAAATTGTAGCTAAAAAATATGAATATTAAGGTTAGAGAAGGAGAGCAATTAACCTTCAAGCAAAGCTTTGAAATTATCATCTATATGGTAAGTGAAATCTTCTTCAAATTATTTGTACTTATTGCTAATTTAGTTTTTGCAAGGTATATAGATTTTGAATCAAAATCAACAATTCAATCATTAGTTATTGAATCTTTAAACTACTAAAAGATTATTAAGAGTTTGTTTAAGATTTAGGATCTGATCAAGGATTAATTAGGATTGATTTAGGATTAAGATTTGATTAGGATTTAGGATTTATTAAAAATTTAACTAGATTTTTTTTAGGAATTATTAAATTTTGATTAGGATTTGATTAGGATTTGATTAGGATTTGACCTAAGACTTGATTAAGGTCTACTTAGGTTTTAATTGAGGTTTGACTTAAGATTTGATTAAGATCTACTTAGTTTTTAATTAAGGTTTGATTTAAGATTTGATTAATATTCATTAAAATTTTAATTAAAATTAAATTAAGATTTTATTAAGATTTATTTAAAATTTATATTTTTAATATATTTTTAGGATTTTTATTATTTCTTTAATTTTTTTTATTTCTAGTATTTTTTTAAAATTATTATTATTTCTTTAGATATTGATTTTTATATTTATATTTAAATATTTCTTAATTATTTTTCTTTGAAATTAATTTATGATTTTTTTATGTTTATTATGTAATTTTTTTAAAATTTATT